CTCTTACTAACTATATGCAAGAAGAAACGATCTACTAAATCACATGAGAAAAATATTTCACAATAGGAAATTTACGATTGAAATGAAAAACAAAGTGTGAAGAAAGATAATTAAATACGAATATACAAGAAAAAGAGACATGAAAGTGAATAGAAGATGGAATGACGTGGCAAAATGGAAAAGTACGGAAACGTGGAAAGAACTGATTAACAGATGGAAAAAAATGGAAAAAAAAACAATTGTTAAAAGCTTCAAAACGGAAAAAAAGACATTTTAACATGTTCGAAATTCATCGACTCACGAAAAATTGATTTTTTAGCGATGAAGTATCTACTCAATATGATGATGTAATATGATTCAAAAGTGTTCAGAATTAGGTTCTTCGTTACGTTGAGTAATTCTAGAGGGATTGGATCTGAAAAAACGTAAAGAACACCACCAAAAGAGACTGAATTACTAAAACACGTTTTTTATATTCAATATTAGTATATGAGATGTGTGATTCTTCCTATTTCTAATCTATATGACCAATATTTCTAATAATTTGTGAAAATTTTTTAATCAAATCTTGAAATGATCTCTAACAATAGGCCATAGTTTATTATGATCATCTGATATAAAAGAAAATTACAACAAAGAAGGAAAACATTCTTACGCTTGCTATATGGTCTTTTCACTTTTTTACTTTCCTCTGAATGAGGGAACACAGGATGCATATTGACTAACTTTTGGATATGAAAAGATAAAAAGTTGATTGAATAAAGCCAATTATCAAATAGACATGTGATTAGCCTTGATCTTTTCCAATCAATGGCAGAAAACAATTTTGTATATTATGGCAGTTGTTTGATGGTTAAAAGAATAAGTGAAATATCTTTATTATCTTCAAAATAAAGACTCATACTATTATGAGCCTTTTGTATCTACTCAAAAGAAATACTTTTAAATTTATGTGTCAAAAATCAAGCAATTTTATCATAATATTAACACGCTCTAGAATAATTTTCATCTTCATTATGAGTTATCCCAGTGTTTAGTTAAATAATTATTCATAAAAGTTACTATAAAAGATGCATTTTTCAATGACAAAATATTGAACTTTTAATTGTAATTAAGAACAAATCAGTTGACATACTGTAAGTCTCGTTGAAAAACAGCTATTAACGAGTTAATGTTTGATGCAGTAAAATCAGCTCAAGAAAGGTGAAAAAAACTCGTTTTTCAACTTAAATTTTCGCATTTTAACATACTCAGAATTTTGAACGCGTTAGTGAGGCATGGAAGACACTGCGGATAAAATTGATAGAAGTGCGTATTTTTCAAAACAAGAAAATACTCCTTTTAATGACGTCACACCTTGTCAACGTATTTAAACACGTTTAACCCTTTCAGGATGGGATTCTTTTTGTCAAGCAAAATAATGAAACACGGAATTAATTAAAATTGAATTAATTTTTCTTTCTAATCAGTATTATTGATCTTTTAAAGATTGATACGGCTTATATATATGTTATCCGTACAAAATCATAGAACGATACCAAGTATATAAATGATAATTAGTACGCATCCCTAGATTTGACCTGTTTCAGAACGAAAGACTCATATACGTCTCCCATCACGAAAGGGTTAAACGAGATTTTTTAGAGGTCTTGTCTGCCTGGATATAGACTGGTAAATATACAGACGAAAATGATTCGTTCTTAACCAATGTAAAGGCTTATTTACACCTATACCTGGTTTCATTTACTTGGTAGACGGCTCAGTTCACCTAATTTAGTATTCTATTGGTTCTTGTTCTACGAAATAATTATTTAGTGAAATAACTACCTCTTCAATATATTTATATTACAATATCATATTGATACTTGAAGGCCACAAAATACGTGAGTGTAGTATTATTGAATACAGTATGGTGAGATTCGAGAGCAGGTGAAGCTGACGAGGGAACCTTTTCAACTGTCCAATCGCTTTTGAGTTCGAACTCAGTGTGAAAGATAGACCCCAGTGAGGTATGAAAAGGCCCAAAAGGATAAGTGCCCATAGGCCTTCTGTCCAGAGTTATAGGCATTTTACTGGATTTTTAGCCTATGGCACAGTATATACCAAAAAATCGAATGACAATATTTCGAGCTGAGATTTCGTCCAACGATAGGTCTATGTACCAATAGAATGCCCTGAAAATTTCAGCTCAAAAGAATGTTTCAATCTCGGGATATTAAACTCCCAAAAATCACGCATATCCCGCGAATGATGCTAGAATTTTTTGGCTTTTGGGTGTTCAATATCTCGAGATTGGAACATTCTTTTGAGCTGAAATTTTCAGGGCATTCTATTGGTACATAGACCTATCTTTGGACATAATCTCAGCTCGAAATATTGTCATTCGATTTTTTGGTATATACTGTGCCATAGGCTAAAAATCTAGTAAAATGCCTATAACTCTGGACGGAAGGCCTATGGGCACTTATCCTTTTGGGCCTTTTCATACCTCACTGGGGTCTATCTTTCAAACTGAGTTCGAACTCAAAAGCGATTGGACAGTTGAATAGGTTCCCTCGTGAGTTGTTCTGATGATAACTTCGATCCGAAATTTTTGAAAATTGAAAAATCCATTTTGATTTCAAGCAAACAGCCATCATTTTAAAATGATTGTTTGTACTGATAGAACTAAATTAGTATTTTTGAATTTCTTTTCCATGCAAGTCAGTCACATAGGGCGAATTAAAACTCGATGAGTTTTACTTGCTAGTCAACTTTAAAATAGTATTGAATTTAACTCATAAGTAAATATGTAATTTTATTATTGTATAGTGACTTCTCCATAAAATTTATGAATCTTGAGCTTAAGACTTGGTTCCTGTTCGTATCTTAATCAGTTACTGAAAGGATCTATGAGTATTTTCAAGAACCCTTTTTCGAGGTTTCGAAGGTTTTCTTTTTCGTAAACTTGAATGATTTTTCTTTGATTATTCTACTTTTTGGTAGCAGTTCCTCATGAGCCGAATAATGGTTACTATACCAGACAGTAGCTGATCTAACCTAGCATGGATTAAGAATTTTGAATTTTTCTATCGCAGTTAATTTTCATTTTACTTTAGTCAATGTCTATGAAGGTCCTAATTAGCAACCTCCTACTGTCTTCGGATGCACAGATTGAATCTAATTGTAACTATTCTACTTTTTGTTCCGACTTTGGAGCGAAATTCGAAACATCATGAAAGAAAATTCATTCTGATCGGAAAGTATATATGAAGGGAGATAAGTGAAGTCTATCTGACCGAATATCCTATCATCAGTTGCTGTAGGAGCTTTCCATACAGTCATGGCAAGACTGCCGAAAAGGTAAAACTGAGCACAGTCGAAGTTAGGAATCATACTCCAACCCATTTATTTTAAGGATACAAATTGACACATGAATTTAAGCCAATTATGACCTCTTATTTAACAGCAAGGACTTGACTCATTCGATGAAAAATTAAAATACCCAAGTACTCAAATACTAGAGTGCTACTTTGAATAAGTTCATGTTCAGTAAAGACTGAACATAAGCATATTTTGTAACAGTATTGACCTCCTTTACCGAGCAGAGAGTAATTCACTATTCATTCGATGTGCTTCACATGGAAACTAGCAATTTAGAGAAAATTCAATCTACCATTTACTCTCATTTGTGCTTATCTTGCAAGGAAAATTTTCGCCACCAATAATCGTGTTGGACTTTATTTATTATCATTTGCCTTATTTCAATCGATCTTTCTAAATCAAATTGGAGTACCTTTATCTTTGGTAAAATCATTTCATTGGTACACCTTACTGCTCATATCTTTCATTAAGGAATATGGAATCTTCCGTGAAAAGAATCTAGTCAGCTCTACATTTCCTATCTGTCCCTTATGATCGTAGTAATCATACTTCCTAAGTATCCATTATGGCTGTTCTTCTAGATTGTGCTTTCAATCACTTCGTCTTTTGTAAAAGGACATTCTCTGTTCGTTCTTGATTTTGTTTATTCTTTACATAATTGAATCTTTTCTCCTAGATCTAACAATAATAGCCAATCAAAGAAATCAATAGGTAAGTTCAATTTCATTGATTTCTTGAGATAGACCTTTCCCTCCTAAAGTTAGTAATATCAAAAGCGCCATTCCATCTATCTAATAAGGTAATTTTAAACAGTTTTTAAGACACTATTGATAACACATGTTGAACGATAAAACGAGAAACTAGAACGATCCTGCTGATACAGACGATGATCGATACATCGTCGTTTTATTTTTGTTTTTTGGACCTCATGCGTCTTGATTTTCAAGAGACTTTAATGATGAATCGATGTGAGATGCTGAAGTCCAAAAACCCATTTTATCTTTCGTGATGCTGCATATTAGCCATTGCTACAGACTGTCACAAACATTTGGCGATGATTCATTCTACCTTGATCTTCTGACAGATCATAACAAATATAAAAAGCATCTTCTTGTCCATGTGAATTGGATGCATTGTATTTTAAATCTTAATACCTCGGGATTCTTCTTAAGATTGTTTCTAACATAGTCTGCATTTTCGGTAAAGTGAGAGATCAAAAGGACATAATCGAATAGACGGGTTGAATAAACGTAACACCGATTAAACGTGTACAAGCTGAAAATGTCAATTTAGTTTCGAAATGTTAAAGCTGGTGACGTAAAAAAAGGAGTCTAATAGGCGATTCTAGAAAGACACTTCAATGCTTAAGAGGGTGTGGGTGTGGCGAAAGGGAAAAATCTCACCCACAACCATACCCTTTTCAGTTCATATCGAAGCTATCTCATCGCAAGAGTATGAAATACCTATAAAATAAATGACCAAAAAAAACGAAAAGAAAAATCAACGATTCAGTAAAGCTCGTCATTGCTCAGATCGAAGTTGTCTGTATTAGAGCATTCTACGTACGTTGGCGATGATATGGCAGATTTAGAGAAGAGATAGAAGTCTCACTATACAATTTATCTCCTATTCTTTAGATGATAAGTCAACCGTTGATGCCATCAAATAAAGATTATCACAACGAAAATCTCAAAAAACAAATCGCTAAATGTCAACCTCATTCAGAAGTGATTCTCACAAAGCAAGGATTAACTGATCGAGACATGTCAATTGTAGTTGACCAAGCGATTTTTCAACGAAAATGTACAGAACTGTGGTTAAAACAAAATAGCATAACATCGCCAGGTGCTTTGATTCTTGCTGATGCATTGCGACATAGTATAGAATTGAAGGAACTATATCTTTATGGCAATCAAATATCAGACATAGGTTCATATTCATTGGCACAGGCACTTGCTAGTGAACATTCTACATTAACACGACTAAGTCTGGGCTCAAATGGCATCACAGATGAAGGAGCACGTTATTTCGCTGACATGCTCAAAATAAATCGAAAATTGAGACATCTCTTATTGTCCACCAATAAAATAGGCGATCGAGGATGTTTACACTTGGCTAATGCATTAATTTACCCTAACACTACTCTTGAACGACTCGATCTTGATTCGAATCGTGCTATCACAGATTCAAGTGTGAAAACTCTTGCTGCAATAATGAAAATTAATGATAATCTCATGGGATTAAATGTGTCTGGTTGTACGCTTTCAACTTCGTCCAAAGCACAACTCCACAAGGTCGCCAAACAAAAAACATATTTCTCATTATGGGTATGATGTATAAAATACCTTATTATTGTTTGTACCAGAGTTGAATAGACTCGGTTGCTTTCTGAATAAATCGAGAACGGAAACAGCTAACGATCTGAGGTTTTCTTCATTTGGCGAAGGATCC